TTCCTGGAGCATAAATATTGCTTGATTGAGTTACTGATTTTAGAAATCAAAAGCCACCCATCTCGTCTATTTCCATTTTTTTCTTGTAACTTTAAAATTAACAAGGAGAGCTAGAAAACTCTGAGGCTAAAGAATTTCTGTGCTCCAAGGAAGCCTGCTTTCTGCTTCTTAGCTTTGTATGACTTTGATAGACTTGCTAACCAGGTGTCTGCTCATAGATAAAATGTATTCTTTTTTCCTTGCACCAATAACCTAAGTTATGTTTTACTTAATGGGAAAAATGTATAAATAAAATTACAGATACTAGGTACTTTTCCAATGCCTAGTGTATGTAATTTTGAGAAAACTGTCTGACCTTTTCCCAGACTTCAGAGCAGAACATCTCCTTGCTTTGGCTGGATTTTCTGGCTATGTCTGGTACCTGTTCACAGAGTAGTTAATGTACAGAGCTTGACACATGACCAATCTAGCCATGCATAACTTTCCTTGTCGTTACATTCTGTTTGCAGCATGAATTAACTTGCTTTCACAATGTAAGGTGTAGATACCAATTTGCAATATCCCTGGGGTTATTATTTTGTATCCCAGTTTAGTTTCACTACTAGTATTTATGATTGAGTGACTGACTTTTCTTTTCTTGCTCAAAAAATTTAAATTACAAGGAAGAAGGTAAACCAGTCACTTACAATTCTTGGCACATATTGTTTTATTCCTATAAACAATTTCCATTCCTATTCATTGACCTCCATGCCTCACAAGAGTATCAATGACTGTGGATTATTACAGAAGCCACTATGAACAGAAGTGACTAGAACCATTTCCTGAGGTTGGTTATTATCCAGATAACCAACCTATGACCATGGAGTGATAGGAAAGAGTGAACATTTTAGGATGCTTTTTATGACTGTAAAGCCACAGCAAAGATTTGGGGAAATGGAGGGGGAATTCTAAACCAAAATGGGTTCACAGCAAAGGCCGAGGACCCATGACCTGTGTAGGGTTGACACATATGCCTCTGCATATTTACTGTTTAAGAACTCATTGCTGAGGATGCAGTAGGGGCTGGAATCTATTCCTACTCCCTTCAACAATCCCTGAACCCATGAGACTGAGTCAGGCTGGAGGAAGAGCCTTTTTCTAATTTACATAAAGGCAATTCCTAATTTAATTGTGAATTTGTTAAAGTATAAGAAAGACTTTTTAAGGGAGAGAGGAAAAACAAAACACTTTAACTTTCTTAAGCAGAAAAGAAAATTCACTAAAGAATAACAGAAATATATCATGAAACCAAGGGTAGGGTAATGATCAGATCTCAGAAACCTGGGACCTAGCAGGATGCTCTTCTCTGTCTCTCTACTCTGTTTCTCTTTGTGGCAGCCTTCTTCTTTCTCTTACTGTAGAGTAGGTTGCTCTATCTGTCCGAGAATGACTACCAAGAGCCCACAAGGTTTATATCTTACAGTTTCAGTACCAGAGGAAGACTGGCTAACATTCTTCCTGTTTCCAAGTCCAAATTCCTGGGCAAGAGAATTATTGATCCAGTGTGGTACCCATTCTTGGACCAATCGGTTGCAGCTGTGGTTGGAGGCAGGGTTATATATTTAAAAGATCATTATTTAGAAACCATCTGTAGGAAGCAGTTAGCTGGGGGTGTGAGGAAAGCCTTCCAGAAGAACAGATTCATTTTCTTCTAATAGTCAGATACAACAATAAGTGTTCATTAAAATTACATACAAAGGGACAGCCCCAATCAATTATATAATAAAATGTGCCTTCTGAAAAAGCAAAGCCAAAGAAGAAGTGTCATCCTATAAACATTTGACCCAAAGCAGCAATTTTGTTCCTATGGTCTCACATCTCAAACTTCAATCTGAGCAACTTTTCTTCCACATTTAATCCTATTAAATCCCTACTAATCCCATGAAGTTTACTGAATGTCCTCTTCCTTCCAAAATGCCATCCCCAAGTATTATATGCTTCAGTGATTTATTTCTTGGCTCCATTGACAATTTGATTTATATGTGTCTCTCTTGGCCAGCTCCTGCATTTATTTGTTAATTATTGTGTGCATACAGCTTGTCTCCTCTTCTGGATTTTAAGCTTCTTAAATATTTTTATAACAATTATGGCCCATAGCACTAATAATTAAAGATTGCCTTTCTTCTATTCCATGCACCTTGCGGCATGAGGCTGAATGCAGTCTTAGTAATCATGTTTGAGTACAGACCTTAGGAAGATGGGATTTAGCATTATTTATTCAAAGCATGCCCAGAGCCCCATAGCAAGCAGATCAAATAAGGGGTAGGGTTACTGATTGTCTCCAGACACATACACTGAATAATATGCTAAGAAAAAAATCCCCAGACACCAAATAATATGTGAAAAAAAGACTTCAAATGTTTATAAAATATGCTACAGCACTTGATGCCCCATAAAATGCTATACTGATAATGAACTAGGAATGAGGACACAATTTCCCCATTTGGGTTTTCTTTTTTTTTCTGCCTAAAGAAGTGCCAAAGAAGAAAAGAAGTTTAGAAGATTTACAGAAAGGAACACACTTTCCATAAGACAATAGAAATTTGTGATTCAATCCAGATTTGCAAATCTGAGACTTGTCAACTAAGGTGTGGAAAACAAAAAGCAGAAGACATGAATTTGCATTAACTCAATGAGCGTCATTTTGACTTTGTGAAAAGGAGAAAAAGTATGAGACAGATTTAAAAGGTACAATAACTCAAATCTGATTAAATGTTATAGGAAACTACTCCACCGAGAGCACCTTGTTTAGTAAACTCATTATGAAGACTTTACATTAGCGTATTTACTGTTAGGATGTAAAAAAAAAAAAAAAAAAAGCCCCCAGTGTGACTAAAATAGGCCTTAAAAAATAAGACATATTTCCTCTGTAATATTTGCTTAAATTTGAAAAATTTTATTCTCATGCTGTTTTCTCATATTATGCAGTGTAACAGCTTAACAGTACGTTCTCATGTAGACATTATGTGTGACTTTTCACCCCTTTCACAGGGGAAAAAAAGTGAGACTTAAAAAGATTTCCTGACTTGCCAAAGGCAGAGCAGATAACTCATCTGAATTGTACAGGTTCCAAGTCACTGAGGTCTGAATAAATATAATTTTACCTTGTTTTTTTTTTCTTTTTTACTTTTTTTCCCTGAAGGATATATATACCCATAGGGCAAAGATTTTTTTTAAATAAAAAGAAAAAA